TACCCACTAGCCTATATAACATTCATGTCGTGTTATTCACTTTAAATTCGGTCTATTTCATACTAAATAGAATTTAATGGAAAGAAAATGACAAATTATGACACCACCAGTACCAAATAATTTTATCTAAGTGCCGTCTTGTTTTATAGCACAAACAGCAATCACATCTATTTTTAATCAACACAGCTGATAAAACATTGTACAGAACATCATGGTTCCCCTGTTGTAATTTTTTGTTTACATTCTTTGCATTGAATGGCTGCCATTGAAATTTATGTTTAAGCCAAAACGTTCAGGGGCCTTCGACAGCCCCTGTCCTCTAGCCACTGTTTTGTCAACCCGATCTTCTCTTTGAATTTCTGAAGATTGACAGTGGTTTATTTCCTTTAAAATCTCAAGCAACAGAGTAGATCCCGGTGATACGTTATGTTGTTAAAAAATAATTTAAAAAAAGTTAGTCCAATTGAGGGCGTAGTTTATTTAATATGGAAGGCCACACCATCTAGACCAAAGGGTACGTAATTGAGAAGGTCGACTGCAGTCGACCTTCCCAACTACGAACTTCTCAATTACGAACCTTCTATTTTACGAACGGTGTTTGGCAGATGACGTCATCATGCGATCGTATTGGTAATTATTAGTGAACGTATCATTTGCTAATAAGTTTTGTAGAGACGAAAATGGCGTATCATGGCCTTGTGACATCACTTCTCGAGGTAAACAATCGATGGTTACAAGCGGCTAAAATCTGGTTTTAAAAGTTGCTTTTTTTCCTTAAATCCCACTTGTTGTTCGACGCAACATCAAGATATGATCTTTCCAATATATAAAGGACCTATGGTATGAGTTTCGTTGAGGTAGGAGGTCCGTAATTGGGCCGAATTTCCGTAGTAACTACGGACGTTCAGTAGTACTTGAGAACCCTGCACTTTCGATTCCACTCAGTGCATATGACTTTGCGGTGAATTTCAATGACGTCATCTTTGTCTCAGCGTATCAACGTCCCAGTGTATCAGCGTATCAGTGTATCAGCGTTTATAAGACAACGTAAAATTTCAGCGGCGGATTCCAGGCCTATCCTATGTCTGGTAGGCCCTAAAGCCTAGGCTAGGCCTGGCCTAGTTAATAATACAGGAACTTGTACCGCGCCTTTTGCCAAGAGATATATAGGCCTACAAGGCGCAATCAAAATAAATTTTAAAAAAATGATAACCAATTGGGATCAACAAAGACAATAGAAATGACAAAAAGCAGAAAATTTAGACAGTTAAGTGAGATTTATTTAGGAAAACAATGTTTCTTGAGAAGCCGACGAAGTCGAGGCATTTAGGTATATATCTAGACTTATGCCTTGTTTTTTTGACAAACCCGGGCACATGTACCTACTACTAGCC